AGCATGGCTGGCTGGGGAGTTCTGGGAGTTGAAGTCCACACGTCTTCAAGTTGCCATGGTTGAGAAACACCGCTCTAGACTGCTGGCTTGATTTCTTTTGTGTGTCAAACTCTTCAGAGCCTAGCAAGCAAGCCTCGTTTTGATTGGTATTTTCGAGGCTCAAAAGATACAGTTCTTCAAAGGCAATGAAATAATAGCTTTTATTTTTTAATCAGGGGAAATTCCTGTATTATTACTGATCAGTTGTGATCAGTAATAATACAGGAAACATCATAACAAATATATAATCTGGGAGACTTTTTTCCTTCTGCTTACCTCAATCTGGCATATCAGATGAACAGAAGGGATGTGAGTGGATTAGTGCAGCGTTTTGCATTATGGAAAGGAAGAGAAAGAGACTGCCAAGTTCACTTCTCAGGAAGTAGAAGGAGCATGGAGAGAATGTAGCCTGCAGTTAACCTGGCCAATAGGAGAGATCTAGCTGAATCTGTGGCAACCAAAACTGATCTGGGTCAGTTGTGTATTTCAGATTTTAGGAAAGCTGACTTTAAAATACAAGTAAAAAGTTGGATCGGATTCCATGGCTAGAAACTCCACAGGAAAAAGAAGATACTGCTGGTTGAAATACCAAATACACAAACAATTTCCATGCAAATGAGTAATGGCCAGATATATTAAAAAATCAGGCTGCATAGGAAGTTTTTAGGTGATAGTTAAAAGTGATCTGAGTGGGAGGGAGAACAGCTTAATCTAAAACCAAATGGAACAGAATAGCCTGAACGTGTAAGGGTAGCAAAAGGAAGGATAAGTTCCAGAATGAGCTAAAATTGATGTCAGAACATTATAAAGGATTTCCTTGGCTAAGAAAGCATCATCAGCGAGAAGACAATCAAGGAAGGATACGTTTTTTCTGAGGGAATATGGTGACAGAAGAAGAAATGGATGTTACTTATATTTAGGAATGGAAAAATGACTAATAGGGAAGATGTGGCTTCAATAAAATTGAATCTCTAGTATTGCAATATGGTCAGATAATCGTTCGATCACCATTTAGTCCTCGGAGTTCGATTTGGAAAAAAAATTAGGATAGAATGCCAAGAATGTAGATAAAATAAATTTCCTGTGGAAATGTTCTGATAAAATCATTTTGAGTTGTTCCAGCTCACCTGAATGACGCAGAGTATTCCACGTGTACACATTTGTTAGCAAGTGCAAAAATATACCAGTGTAGGTGCTTTTGCTTTGCTTAGACTGCCTTAGCTTGTAGATGTCTGATTTGCTTATAAATAGAAAGTACTGGAACCACGTATTTTATTTGTTTGCAAACACCCATTGCTTGCAGTTGGCTCCAGCTGATGGAAGGATTTGCATCTTTTTTTCCATCTTGGACTTAATTCCACTATTATCACAGCCTTCTTCCTGTTTCAGAGGTGAATGTGTTACATTTGTTAAATAGTATTTCTATGTATGACATTATTTTATGTCCTGGATAAATCATTGCCTTTTGGAAGTTTTAAAATGGTCTTGGACTCACTCAGGATGGGAGCGATGGCTGCTGTAGAACCAGCTTGTGTTAGCCTCATGTATAAACCTGCACTAGATATTTTCTCAACTGGTTTTGAGTTGAGAACGGTTGGTGTTGTACTATTTGTACCCAGAGATATTTCAGCCTAGGTGGCATACTTTCATCAAAAAAAAAAAAAGCATCAGAAATGGACTCAATTGACAGGCAATGGCAAGCTGATCTGACTTCTCTTTCCCCTCCTGCGCTTGGATTCCTTCCCTTGCTTTCTCTTTTAATGAAACCATAGTTATAGTTGGACTGGGCAAGCTTTGGTTTGTGGAACCAAAAGCTCCTAAGCGTTAACTGGTTCCCAAAAGTTTTTAGCTTTAATTTTTTTGATACTCCACATTCTTCATGAAACTGGTCCAGATGTGCTGCCTTATAAGTGGTTGGAATTTGGGGCAGTTGTAGTACCTTACTGAGTTAGGCTGCAGTGATGATGCAATTCTGAAAACAAAGGTAATGCCAACTAAACAATTCTGTTGGGAGTTCTAGAAGAATTTCTGCATGTCTGCTCGGCTGCATATTATCAAATGTGGGAAATCCACGTTCTGTGCCCATATTTAAAACTCTGAGTTATACTGTACTCCTCAATGCTACCTAGGTCCAGGAGGAGGCGGAAAAGGATGAGAAGACAGCGTCTTCCAATCCAGTGCTGGAGCTGGAATTGGCAGAGGAGAAGTTGCCCATGACACTTTCTAGACAAGAGGTAAAGACAAATAATTTGTACTTGTCCAAATTTTAGCTATCATCATGCAGTAGTTGCTCAGTAGAGGAGGTTTACTAGGGTAGTGTTTTCCTGTATATCTAATATTTTTGTAGAAGCCAGAGGAACCAGTCTTTTAACTGCCAGTGCACTGCGATAACCAGTGCAGGCATTTTAACTGCAGATGATGAATTTTTCCTTATTAGCTTCTTGAAAGTGGCTGTCCCCTTCCCCCTTAATTACAGCTGTGAAGATCATTAGCCTCGATGACTAGCTCTAATTAAGACTCATAAGGATTCTAACATTAAACTGGTTTTAAATCTTGCTTTATTGGCAACCCTGAAATGTAGATATAGTCCTTTTTTGCAGTTCAGGGAGAACGTTCCAGAGATTGAATGCAACCTGCATTACATCCGTACCTTCCCCTACAGAATCCACGGTGGTTCCCATTCTGATTTCACACTTAGCACATATCTAGATGGAGCTGTTTAAGCCAGTGTTTCTCAACCTTGGCCGCTTTAAGATGTATGGACTTCAACTCCCAGAATTCCCCAGCCAGCATGCTGGTTGGGGAATTCTGGGAGTTGAAGTCCACACATCTTAAAGCGGCCAAGGTTGAGAAACACTGGTCTAAGCACTCAAAATATTAGTGTCTTCTGTGATGAATGTGCTGTAATGGGGCATATCTGCTGCACTGCACGAAACTCTTGGAAGTTTTGAAATAGTAGATGCCCCTTAGACTTTCACCCAGCAGCTGTCACACACCACATTTGAGACTGTTGAACTGCACATTCCATGCTGTTGAACAAGATGGAGAGTTTTGACAGTACTGGGAGTACTGTTAATCTTGTGGGCCAATGGATGCATGGGGAATTTTGAGACCATGCTGTGGGTGTTCTCACAAAATGGGCCCCATAGGGCTTTTAGCCAGCTGCAAAGCTTCCTAGATCAGAAGGCAAATGAAGCAGTGGGCCAGAACCCCCACAATTTCCTATCCTATCCTATCCTATCCTATCCTATCCTATCCTATCCTATCCTATCCTATCCTATCCTATCCTATCCTATCCTATCCTATCCTATCCTATCTTTTAAAGAATGCCTGTGTGTCCCAAAGGCGATGTTGAAAATTCCAGGTTAAACTTGCGGCCGGTGCTTTTCTTTGCAACATGCTAATTTCCCATTCTTATTTTTAATTAAAAGAAAGTTTAAAAAATAAAATTCGGGTGGACAGGGAACTTAATGAAAGCCAAGGAATGTGCTGCCATACATGCTTTTGCATCCATGCATGACCTTCAGGATTCTGGCATTGTACCATTAATAGCCCCCCCACCCCAAAAATGCTTGAGATGAAATGTCCTCTGAGTTGAATGCCCTATTTGTGATGTTTCCTGAATGCCTTTGCTCTTCCTCAATATAGAGCACATACCTAGATGGAGCTCCTCCTTTCCACCAACATATAGATCAGTGTTGTATTTTCCAGTTGGTATACTGGAGCATTTTGCTGACTCTTTTCAGGTCATTAGGAGATTGAGAGAAAGAGGTGAGCCCATCAGACTGTTTGGAGAAACAGATTATGATGCCTTCCAGCGATTGCGAAAAATAGAAATTCTGGCCCCAGAAGTGAACAAGGTAAGTCTGTTGATTAAGGGGCATTAAATGCTGGAGTAATTTATACAGGACCCTTATAGGGAACTACTTGTTTCTTCCCTCCATAGCTTTAATGGATCTATCAGTATATTAGAAAAAATATCTAAAACAATATTTTATTTATAATATATTTTGCTTCCTTAATGAAACACAGAACACCTTTTCTCTGCTTATGAATTGGTTGGTATAAAGTCTTAAGATCTGAATTAATAGAGATTCAATTTGGACTTGTTTATTTGGAATTTACATGTCGTCATGAGTATGTTGGTTATTTAGGATAAATGCTTAATGAGATTGAACTGCTTCTCAGCCCTTGTTCTGTGCACTGACTTTAAAATTTACGTGGGGATTTTTAAAAGAGAATGAATGTTTAAGTTGTGACTTATGGTTTGGAACAACAAATTTTTAGGGATGGAAACTTGGGGACAGTTTGTATTTCCACCAGATCTGTGTGACAGACTTTAGAAATAGGAGCACTGCAGTTGTGCAAATCATGTTAATCCTCCTATTGATGTGCCAGGTCCTATATATTGCATATTTCATGCCACCCTGCCACTGATGCAGTTAATCTTGGGTGGCTTCAAGATTTTGACTGAAGGTGAAGACTGGCCCTGAATTCCTTAGAAGTACACAGCTAAAGCTCACCAGCTTGATTATCTAGTCTGAACTTTGATATGTTTTCCAGATTAATTTGACATATTCCTTAAACTGTTTCCTTTTTGTAGGGATTAAGGAATGACCTGAAGGCTGCTTTGGATAAGATTGACCAGCAATATCTGAATGAGATTGTAGGTGGACAGGAACAAGGAGAGGATGACGCACAGAATGACCTCAAAGTCCATGAAGAGAACACAACCATTGAAGAATTAGAGGTATGGTATGAAATTTTGGCTGGGGTAGTGCATGCGTAAATAGATAAATTGTACCAAGCAAAGCTGGACAAACTATACATTGCAGGGATTCCCGTTCCTGTTGCTTTGACAAGGTTTTCCTTGTTTGGGATTCAATCCAGAGGAGCAACCCCCACCCCCCCCAGTTATTTCTTCCTCAGCAAAGCAGGTCAAGAATTTAATGCACCCTTCATTTTAACAGAGTCTTGAACTTTCTGCAGATCTCAGGATAGAAGAAGTGCCCCCCTTCTTTACTGGTGGTTCACTACTGGGAAAGTTTCATTATCTATGTGAGAAAATTGTCATCAGCAATATATTCTGGAAAGATTTTCACTCTTAGATTCATGGATTTCTATGCAGATGTGTATATTATCTGCACATAATGGGTGTCTTCCCTTTATGTTGGCTTTAGTCTTTTTTGGACAAGTTTATTAATCTACTATATTCCATTATGACTATTTATCAGATCAGATTATTTTCCTTTAATAGGATGTTAAGTTTATTTGTTTTCTGTACTGTTTGCAATCATGCAGTAGACACTAGTGGTTCACCCTCCTAATTCACTTAGCATTATGGGGTGCTACTCCTGCTTCCTGCTTTTTTTACTCTGCTTAGGTTTTTAGCTAAGGTTAGTTAGGAGAGCCAGTTTGGCGTAGTGGGTAAGGCACCAGGCTAGAAACCAGGAGACTGTGAGTTCTAATCTCACTTTAGGCATGAAGTCAGCTGGGTGACCTTGGGCTGATCACTTTCTCAGCCCTGGGAAGAAGGCAAGGGCAAACCGCTTCTGAAAATGTTGCTAAAATACTTGTCTAGGCAGTTAACAGGAATCAAGACTGACTGAAGGCACGCACGCATACATGCACATATTTAGTTGTTGCCACCTCTAGATTTAAGGAGGTTTGGCGCATGAACATAGTACCTGTCTTAACTCCTTAAAGCAGCTGCATCTTTTTGTGGAATTGCACACCCGCTTTCTGAGTTGCTGCATAATCTCAGGGGATGACATGGTTGCTTTAACGAGTTGCAGACACGTGTCGCAGTTACATTTCATGCTATCAGCGCTCCTTGGAATCCGATCTAAAGAGCAGCAATGCCCTGTTGGGTAGCTTCCTTTTATTACTGGCTTATGAAATGTAAAAAATAAGTTTTCAGTCTTGCTATTAGATATTTGGGTCTTTTAATATTTAGCTAATCTATAGTAGATATGTATTTGGATTCAAAACAGGCATAGATGGTTTGGATCCTGGTTGGGCACCCTCACTGTACTGTATAAACAAGTGTTTCTCAACCTTAACAACTTTAAGATATGTGGACTTCAACTCCCAGAATTCCTCAGCCAGCCATGGGAATTCTGGGAGTTGAAGTCCACATACCTTAAAGTTACTAAGGTTGAGAAACACTGGTATGAATGTTGGAAAAGGGTTCCTACAGTTCCTTTAAGGAGCACCAGAACTGAAGGGTGTCTTCTCCAGAACTGGAGCACCTTTGCTGGCATTGGATCTGATCTTTGATCACCCCTGATCTATAATGTTCTTGAGTTATGTACGTTTGCATCAGGCTTTATTGTTGGAAGTACATACGAATCTCTCTCTCATTCTGTCTCCCTCTTTCTCTCTTAGGCATTGGGAAAATCTTTAGGTCATGGTAATGATCATAAAGATATGGATATCATAACTAAATTCTTGAAGGTAAAAGCTTAACAACTCATACCTCAAAACTGTAAACTTGCTGATAAGCTACTGAGATTATTGATTTTATATATGTGTGATTTTAGGGTTAAGACCTTGGCGTCACAGTTTGAACTAGACATTTCAAGTGGGTTCAACATACAGAAATTGCTGGTAGGAATCTAAGCAAATGAGTAAAATCAGGCTATTTTAAAAACTATCTTCAGTTCTATCAACCTCCAGGCTCCTCTGACTTTTGTGGAAAATTCTGCTGTCTGTGTTGCAGATGGGAGGTGACAGAAAATTGGACCTTTTCTATTCTGGAAACCCTTCTAACTTTTCCCCATACCATGGACTTCTTTATAATACTGTTTTTATAAATGTTGCAAATGGTTTTGAGGGATCTTTACAATGAAATGTGGTATGCAAAATTTTTAAAAAAAATTATTTTGGACATCAGTTGCATTCTGTAGCCTCTGCTGGTATGAGGAGTTTTCTTAACTGTCTTTGTTAAAGACTTACAGGCCAAACGGATACAGATATTCTCAAAACGTGGGTTTTAATGTGCTGTCCTAGCTAACATTCCCCCAACCTGGGTGCTTTTCAGAATGACAGACTTCAACTTTAAGAACTCCCCAGTTAGCATGCACATTGCTGAGGATTGTGGGAGTTGAAATCTACACATCTAGAGGCCCCCAGCTTGGGGAAGATTGGCTTGCAGATTAAATGTAGTAACACTATGTTAGCCTGTGTAGAAAGATGGCCTAAACACACTTGCTATCTTCAGTTTCTTCTTGGAGTTTGGGCAAAGGAGCTGAATGCGAGAGAAGATTATGTGAAACGGGGCGTCCAGGGAAAGCTGAACAGTGCTACCCAGAAGCAGACAGAATCGTATCTGAGACCTCTGTTCAGAAAACTTCGCAAAAGGGTAACTCCTGCAAGATTTCCCCCCTTTTGGAATTCTTTTCTAACTGCATAACAACAATAGTTTTACAATATATTTTTTTTTTCCTCTGTAAAAATAGGGCAAATCAAACTGACAGCTAGTATATACCGTACTGGATTGTGAAATAAAATTGTTCCTGGGATGCTTTGTGTCACGTGGGTGGACTGGCCTCTTTTCTCTGCCAGCCTCTGTTGCATTTCACTGTATAAGAATTCTTTGTGTGAAGTCAGGAGTGCGATTCCCATTTAATCGGCACTGTTTGCAGAAGTGACGTGTGGGACTCCCCTCCCCCTTTTACTTAACAGCGGTGATAGAACACCCTTCTTTTACTGGCTGCTTCTCTGGGAAGAGCAGCGATCATTCCCTGAGTGGCAAACTAGACGAAAGCATGGAAAACTGGCAGATCAGCCTCCAGTGAAAACCCTTTAGGGATGGGGTGCCCTCCCCTTACATGATTCAATCAAACCTCGGTTGGCAAATAGATTTACTTATTTGATTTATATAGCTGCCCATCTCACCTACATGTCTCTGGGTGGCTTACAATAAAATAAATAAAATACACCAAATAGAAATAAAACACACAGCAGCTGGGCATCATCCAGCCAGTAACCTACACAGCCAGGAGGCAGGCTCTTATCACAGACGCAGGGCCCCAGGATCGGACCCAAACCAAGTTTTCAAGGCCTTACGGAAGGCCAACAGGGACAGGGCTGATTCTTATGATGTCTTTAGATTCTTATAACCGTAAACCTCCGCCCACAGGAGAGGTTGATTGCTGTGTCTCTTCGCGCTTACTGCCTTTCAGTCAAGCTTTGGGAATTCTGCTGCGTCTGTGCATCATGTGTTTTTGGTTATTTTGTCAAGAGCACTTTATTGGCCTTCCTCTGAGAAGGTCTGTTGTGGATAGCTTGGCATTTGGGGCTTGTCTCCTAATCAGGATAAACCAAGATTTGGCTAATTTATGCATGAATATAGACCCTGGGCCTTTTTGAATGGAACATGGATTTCCTTGC